TTTTTCATTTGGTCCTTGATCTCTAGTCACTCCCAACAAATAAGACTTAATTAAAAAGATGTGCCTTTTCTCATCTCCTGAGAGATAGTGACCTTATGTTTTGTTGATCTGGGAAAACTCAGTTGCCATATGAGAATTGTCTGCAGAGAACTAGTCAAACTTCTAACTTCAGATTATAACCCTGGGAGCAATTAACAGGAACACATGGCTCGTCTTCACCAACAGGGGGCCCTGGGAAGCCCAGCCCTGTAAGTCTTCACCAGCTAATTGCCTAGATCACCTTGAATTATCTGCAAGAGTAAATTTGTAACCTAGTTAGAAAGCACATACATTCCTGCAAGTTGTCTTCTTAAACCCCCAACTATCTCAGCTACAAATTCGAATTTACCTGAAGAAAAATTTTCTTCTAAGATACCAGAAAGTGAAGAGCTACCCAGATATTTATTTTCCGGGTCACAATTTTCCCTTTAGTTCAGGCAAAGCTATATCTTTTACTTTTTCTTACAAACTCTTACCATGCCCAAAAGTTTAAAACAATCTATTCTGTTTGGTCAGCACTTAGGAAACTACTTTTAGATTACTTTACCCATTCCTCAAGGAACCTGAAATCACATTTTCTCTTAAAGACTCTACACGTGTCAAACAGGATTGTCAATCTATAAAAATTATCTTAAAACACAGCCTACTCATCTGATCAATGCTCCAGAAATGCAGGAACCAGAAAATGAACAATGAGGGTTTGATATAAAAGAGGTTTGCAGTCTACTCCATACATGAAGGAAGACCATGCAAACTGAAAGAATGGTCTGCTTTGAGCAGAGAAGGTTCAGAAAGAAAGAATCCACATCACATGGAAGAATTCACTCAAAATTAATCATAGACCTAAATGTACCAGCTAAAACTATAAAACTCTTCAAAGAAAGCATAAGCATACATTTTGTGACCTTGGATTAGGCCCTGGTTTTTTAAACATGATACGGCATCAAGGCACAAACAAATCATGATTAATTGGACATCATTAAAACTAAAAATCTTTTTTTAACAACTATATAACAATTACTTTATTTTTATGTTTATTCTATGACATTTACAAACTTAGAGATATAGTTATGGTTCGTGTAGTGTTTTGTTATAAGTAATACTCTTTTTTTAAACTAAAAATGTTTATGCTTTAAGGGATACCACAAAGAAAATGAAAAAAAAATGAGAAAATGAGAAAAATATTTGCAACTATATATGCAATAATGGACTTGCATTCAGAATATACAAAGAATACTTAAAATTCAACAATAAAGACAAATGACTCAACTAAAAAAAAGGATAAATAATTTAATAGATATTTCTTCAAAACAATATATAAATGCCCAACAATCTCGTGAAAATTTGTCCAATTCATTAGTCATTAGGAAAATGCAAATTAAAACCAGGAGATACCACTTTATGTCCACTAGGATGGATAAAATTAGAAAGATAGGGCTGGGTATATGGCTTAGCAGTAGAATGTTTGTTTAGCATGTGTAAGGTCCTGGGATTGGTCCCCAGCACTGTAGAAACAATAAATAGACCACTAAGAAGTGTTGGAGAGTATGTGGAGAAAATTGGGACACACCTCTTCCTTGGTATCATCTTTAAAATGTACAGGCACTTTGGAAAACAGTGTCATAATTCCTCAAAAAGTAAAAAATAGTTATCATATGACCCAGCAATTCCACTCCTTGGTATATACCCAAGAATAATGAAAATATATATTCACACAAAAATTCCTACATGAATGTTCATAGCAGAACTATTCATAACAACCGAAAAGTGAAAGCACCTCAAATGTCCATCAACTCAAGAATGGATGAACAACAGGGTAATGAAATGGAGCAAATTATTACATGCATTTATGAATGTCACAGTGAACCTCACCAGTATGTATACCTATAATGTACTAATAAAATCATAATAAGGAAAGAATGTACAAGCAACATGCAGAATATTCACATTATGGATTATTATATGGGAATTAGAAGGAAAGAAGTACTGGTTCATGCTATTACATGGGTGTACTCTGAAATCACCATCTAAGTGAAAGAAGCCAGACAGAAAAGAATACATGTAATATTATTCCATTGATAAGTAATGTAAAACACAGGTAAATCCTTGGAGATAGAAAGTAGATTCATAGTTGCCAGGGGCTGAGGGGAAGGAGGAATGGAGAGTGTATTGTTAGTCAGGGTTCTCTAGAGGAACAGAATCAACAGGAAGTATAATTATAAAACCGGGACTTATTAGGTTAGCTTATGTGACCAGAAGCTGAATAATCCATAATGGCTGTCTGCAGGCTGGAGAGCTGGAAGAACCAGTAGCTGTGCAGTCCAAGAGGCTGAAGCCCCAGAACAAGAGGAATCAATGGTGCTACTCTAATCTGGGACCTAAGGTTTCTGGAGAATCACTGGCAGAATCCACTTTGGAAGAGGTAAGAAGCGAGAGTCCAGTATCCTCAGCAGCAATCAAGGACCTGTCCAAGAAGAATTGAGCTTACATCTGCTGCTGCTTCCTTGTTCTTCCAACTTTTATTCCATTCAAGCCATTATCGTATTGGATAGTGCTGCCCATGCTTAGGGAGGTCTCCCTAAGCATGGGCAGCACTATTTCAGTTGGTTATTCCACATGCCAATCATTCCTAGACAACCCCCCATTGACACACCTGTAAACCTCTTAATCCTCAGCATCTCTTAATCCAATCAAGTTGACAATTCAGATTAACCATTACAGGGAGTGACTGGGTAGAGGGTTTCTTCTAGGAATGATGGGACTACTTTGGAATTCAAGCAACAATGGCTACCCCACTTTGTGAGAATCTTAAAAGCCATTGAATGTTATACCTTAAAAAGTTAAATTTATGGTATGTAAATTACAACTTAATAAAACTGCTATTTAAAAACAAAACAAATCAAAACATTTCTGTTCAGGGAAGAGGGTATCCTGATCATGATTCTTCTTAGTAGAGAAAATCAAAGGGATAGATACCATTTTAGCATGTGTCACCAGTCAATAAACAGTATCTTCCAAATAACTCTGAATTTGATTGTGACTTGCCTTCCCATTTAGAGTTTCTTACAGAAAACATACTTTTTATTAGTGGCAGTCAGCATTTCAGTCCTCTTTCTCTTATGTCTTTGATTTAAAAAAAATTAGGAGGTTCTGATGTGCCACCCACTAAAATACACACATGGGCAGAAGAGTCAATAAGACAGATGTGATCCCTGAGCTCATGGTTCCTGAAGACCTGTGCGTGGAGGGACACAAAACAAAGAAGGACACAAACAAGTAGACAGCATTCTTTTTCATTATTTAGTGTCTCAAAATGACTTTTCTCCCTATGCAAATTCCTATCCTGACCTAAGTTGTTATACCTACATAATCTTCATATCTCTGTATAAATATCTAATATATGTACACATATATAATATATTATTTGAGATAATACCTGTAAGCACTTAGACTCTGCTGGCTCATAAAAAGTGCTTGGTGACTATTATTATTACTATTATCATTAATATTACTAAAGAAATCATCATGTTAACGGTGTTGTACTGAACGAAGATTATTTTAGGTCTGGGTGCACCAGCCTCCCCTACGGGAGGTAGCCCACTGATGTCAGTCATCACAGCAAGAGGAAGGCGTCTGTCAGGAAACTGGAGATGTCTTAGGTAGGAGTGGGGGTACTGTGGGGGAGCCCCCACTCTCTCCCTTGACTTCACTCTTTCAGGTTTGGATTTCAAAACTATGTCTAGTTGACATGGAGGAACTTGTTTAAAAGGATAATGTCTCCAAACCTGTGGAGATTCTAATGCAATAAACAAGGGATGAGTGTGCTTAGAATATTCTTGAATGACAGAGGTTAAAGACAGTTTTACAAAGAGGCAGGCCCAGATTCCATTCTCTCCATATTTCTACTGACCACTCCAAGCTGAAGCATGCAATCAGTATCTGGCAAGCCACATTCTCCAATTCATGCTACTCTTCTCAGCATTGCTAAAGCTAATCAAAGCCCAAGCTCCATACCTCCTCAGACCAGAATAAAAGACAAGTAAGTCAGAGCAATGAGAGGGCAACCACCAGGGACCTTCCTGTGGGGAAAAATGATTCAGGGCTGTCCCTTCTCAAACAAATTCACATCCAACGCCAGTCAAGAACACATGGGAAGAAAGGAGAAGGCATTGGACTGGGGTTTCACTTGCACAAAGTTGGGTTTGGTTTGTAGTCACAAAGATGTATGACAAGATTGAATATTAAAGCTAAATCTCAATTTTTGTAATCATGAATTGGCATCTTTTTTCCTCCTCATTATCATTATTGCAATTATCAATGTTATCATTATTGCAATACTTGTTTTATTCTTAAAAATGCATTATTGTTTTTATTTCAATAGTCTGATTTAGAGCAAATCACTTAACCACTCTGAAGCTCCATGTCATCTATAAAAAATGGGAACAATGATAGTGTTCACCTCAGGAATTTCTATAAGGATAAAATGAGGTAAGTTATTTCAAACACTGAACACAAAAAAACTAATCAATAAAACATTATAGTAATTATTGGTGGCAATAGCAATTTTTGAGGTAATAATATCATTATATGATTGAACCCCAAAATCTAGGTTCTGAATCTGCCTAGCTCAGGGCCAGACCTCAAGCCATAGTGATTTCACCATGTCATGCCAATCAGTCAGCAGGTACCTCTCTCTCTTAGACATCTTTGTCAAGTCATTAGCTAAGGACTTTAAAAAGCTTTTATATTTTTTAAAATAAAGCCACTAATATTAGTCCATTGTAAATTTAAGGTAAGTTTATTTCTAGGTATAAAATTGAATAAATGGATGAACGATGCTATTACCAGATAGATAGATAGATAGATAGATAGATAGATAGATAGATAGATAGATGATAGATAGGTAGAAAGAAAGAAAGAAAGAAAATCAATAGTGAATGCCAGGCATTGGTGGCACATACCTGTAATCCCAGCAACTTGAGAGGCTGAGGCAGGAAGCTTCAAGTGAGTTCAAGGCCAGGCTGGACAACATAGAGAACGCCCATCTCAGAAAAAAGAAAAAAAAAAAGTGGGGGGGGGGGCAAGAATATAATTTGAATGCTTTGGGGTTACCATGGCAACTTTCCCTCATCAACAAATATTTATTGAATGCTCATTACATGCCAGACATTTTACTAAATGCAGAGGATTCAGAAGTTCGCAAGGCCAAGCACGAGCCTTCAAACACAGAGAGATTGTCCAGGATATTAGCCACAGGGCTATAATATATCTATGTAGGTGACCCATACGATGCATTCCTCTCCCACTATATAAATCCCTTATGTTCCTCCAAGAACTAGCATCAAATGATCGCTAGACCTAACCCTCCAGGGTATAAATCATTCCCCACATTTTGGAGATCATGTATTCAGGTTTTTGCCAGATGCCATTCATCACTGCCCTGCAGCAGGAAATTTATGAAAGGACATTCTGGGTCACAGACTCTTAGTTCTGACAATCACTTAACAGGTCATCTAGGCCACTCTCGCTTCCAATGTGGGAATGCTCCCATTAGTATGTCTGAGAAGTGTTCTTCCAGCTTCAGAGAAATACCTGTACCTGCAAAAACACATCTTTCTTTAAAAAAAATAGATTTTCCCAGATGGCATCACACTAATTACTTGGAATGACTTGCCCTTAGTGAACATATTGTCATAAAATGATAAATTCCCTAGGGCTGGCATTTATCATTTCCTGTACTATGGTCACAGACCTCACTGGGCTTCCTCGGTCAACTCCACTAAGCAAATACAATTAGATCTATGACATTTGAAAATGCAGCGTGATTATGATCATCATTTGAAAGAAAATGAGATGAAAGACTACTCAAAAAAAAAATTGAAAAGCAACAAAAACAAATCCATAAATCCAGCCTCTATCCAATCTAAATGATACTTAAAATAATTCATATGTAAATCATTAACTAAATTAAAGAAATAGCACTTAGAAAATTTTAACTCTTAATTTAAGTTCAATCAAGGGAGAGAAGAGGTTGAAAAAAATGCTCAATTAAAGCAATTGGCAGATATTTGTTAGGATCACAGAATTCCAAGATAAGCCTAATTGCTCCTCCTGCCCACGCTAGACCATCTCTAAATTCCACATTATCAAAACCTCTAGCAAAGAGTCTTAAGTAAGAAAATCCGGGGGTGGGGTTAAACAAACTGTGATTTCACTTTAAAAGAAATCTCCAGGGGCACTTTAAAAGATAGTCTCTATCCTGTCAGAACAAATACGAGTTCTACAAGCCTTTAGTTTGTATTATGAGAAAGTATTTAATTTTTATCACTTCATTTGAATTTCTATCCATTTACTCACAGTCTTGATAAGGTAGATAATGATTAGGCCAAACATAAATATAAATGTACTTTCTCAAGTGTAAGAAGTTATTACCTTTTTACATTTAATTTTGCATTTTAACATGCAATGCAGACATTCAAACACCAGAGGACAGTGTGTGAAAGAAAACGAAGTTCCATTGCTATTCATCTAATTCAATTCATTTACTTAGTGAATCAAAGTAAAATCTTAATTTTAAGTGCTTTTCCCCCAAAGACATTTTATGTCATTGCATGCTTCAGAAACTAAAAGTAGTGGTTGATAGAAATGCGAATCATGAGACCAACTAATCAAGTTAATTTGAATCATAATGGAAATTAGAAAGATTAATTTCATAAGCAATCATTAATAATGGAAGCTCTCTTGTACGAATAATCAAAGCTTTAAGTATTATATGATAATTAATTCATTAATATGGGTTACATATTTTAAAATAGCTCAACTCTTTCTTGCTTTGGTGTGCTTATTAATAGCAATCCTGAGGGAAGAAAAGCCAAAATGTTTCTTTATAGAGGTTTTTCATATGTGTTTTTAAATGGGCAAGAGGAAAAGTTGAATTATGCAACAAATAGATTTGCTCATTGGTAACTTTCCTTCAACCATGGACCATGTCAATTGTCAGAAGATGTCAATTGTCAGCTTTTTGCACAAGAGTGGAGAATTATACTCCTGACAAAGAGATGGCCTAAGGTGGAGGATTAATTACAGATTGAGTATCCCTAATCTAAAACTCTGAAGTCCTAAATGTTCCAAAATCCAAAATTTTTGAGAGTTGATACAATGCCACGAGTGGAAAATTCCACACCTGCTTCATATCATAGGTCCAAGTATAAATGCAGGTGCACTAAAAATGTATGAAATTCCCCTCAGGCTTTATGTATACAGTGTATATGAAACATTAATGAAGCTTGTTGTTTAGACTTGGATCTCATCCTCAAGACATCTCATTATGTATATGCAAATATTTTAAAGTTTAAAAATATCTGAAATCCAAAACACTTCTGGTCCCAGATGTTTTGAATAAGGGATACAAAGCCAGTATATTATTTTATTGTCCAACATTTAAACTAATATGCATCTGATTTGGGGCTTGATTTAGAAGTGGTCTTGCATGCTCTTGCCAGTGACTACAGTTTACATTCAAAATTTAACTGAATAGCTCTATTTATCATTTGCAGTGTCTCTAGACTTTTCCCATATTCAAACTCATATGCAAAACACTTGCTATTGTTAGTCATCTATGCAAAAACCGAATGGACTTGGAACATACTCTCAAACATTACTTCTTTTTGTTTTATGGAATATTTCCATATTCTAATTAAAGAATTATGAAAATAACTTCAGTTTTTTGATGTGATCTCTAAAATACAATGTTTTCCTATAATATATTGAAAGGATACTTTATTCAAAACTTTTTTTTTTTAGGTAAAAGATCTGACCTTGTTTTCTACATTTCCTTCTTCCATTTTGCTAAGTTTTCCAGGTAATCTGGATTTGTTCGGGTCTTGATGATAACCCTGATTATAATATTTGACGTCTATAACTCTGAATGAAGCCTAGTAGAGTTGACTCCCTCAAGGGAGTAAAGAAGAAAATGATAAACGTATTCAGATATCACAGGTCTTGGCAGAGCAGGTAAGAAGCTTGGAATGTACTGTAACTACAACAGAAAGTCACTAGAAGGTTTTAAGCAGGGGAATGGTTTGACTTGATTACCCGTATCACTGACAAGGAGGCAAGATTAGAGGTTAATGAAGAGACGGGAGGTGGCTGGACTGAGGCTGTGGCAGTAGAAATGATATGAAGCAGACAGACTTAGGATGTATTTGATGGTTTAAAGCTGACAGGGACTTCTTAGTTGTAGGGTGTGAGTAAAAGAACAGCATCAGAAGGGCTTCTAGCTGGGCCCAGTGGCACATCCCTGCAATCCCAGTGACTTGGGGGGCTGGGACAGAAGGAAGGATGGCAGGTTTGAGGTCACCTGGGCAACTTTAAGAGACCCCGTCTCAAATAAAACAAAATAAAAAGGGTTGAGGATATAGTTAAGTGGTAAAGCACTTGCATTATATGCATGAGGCCCTGGGTTTATCCCTAGTACCATGAAAATTTTAAAAATAAAATGAATTCTAGGCTTTTGGCTGAGAAACCTGGTGATGGAGAGGTTTGATTGAGAACCAGGTTTGCTCAGGGTGAGCAATTGGTCACAGAAAATGTGAAGAAATCATTAAATACACAAGTAAAAAGTTAAATTAGTAGCCAGTATGGGAATCTGAAGCTCAAAGAAGAGGTCAGAGCTGGATAGCTAGATAAAGGTCCTCATGAAACTTGTCAACTAATGGGAGGAGGAGGGTAGTAAGCAAATAATATAGTATAAGTAATGCAAATAAACAATATAAATAGTATAGTATAAATTACAGCTGTCTTGGTAAAGACAGTGCAGTAGGAGGGGAGTCATATTTAAACTGAGGGATTCAAGATGGAGCCTCTTTGAGAAGCAAAAGCTCTAGAAACCAGTGGCTTCTTTAGATACATCATATTTAAGGACTAGTTATCTTAGGTTACAAACAGGACCTTTACCTATAAAGTGATAATTGCTCAGGGAAATAGATCCATAATCATGTATATCTTCTAATTCATAGCAGGATCTTAGACCACTTTCTCACCAATTACAAAGATCATCCTTTATAAATATTGTATGGAGCATATGCTCCCACAGTGGATTATGACCAAAGAGATAAGCATTTCTTGTCAACTCTTCTTTTCTCTTGTTTGTAACTCTTTGTGGTTAAAAAAGAAAAAAAGGAGGGGGGGGAGACGATATCACTGAATAAGGAATGAAATATATTTAAGTAGCCTGTCTTATGTACTTAACCTAATCCCCCTTCTACACATCTCAAAATTTTTTCTTTTTCACTCTGAATACTGATTATTATCATAAATTAAAGCTAATATGTCAAAATTTACTTTCGATTTTTATGCTTGCTTTGGGAGAATTAAGCAAAGCTCTTACTCTGTGATCATATTGATCACAAAGAACAGCACATGTGGCAGGAATTATAAAAAACAATTTGCCAATCCTTATCTGCCACAGAATTCATTACCAGGGTTTTTTTTCCCCCTTCCCACTCAGAAATTATGAATGTATACACACACACACAAAAAAAAAAAACATGCATGTGTATGCATTCATGTATTAATTTACACTGTCCCTAGAAACTGTCACAAAGAAACAAGGAGAACCGTAAAAATGTTGGGCATGTAGTTTTTTTTTACTGAGTTGATTGAAGTAACTTTTTTGTAGTCTCAGACTCTAGTAAAGTTACTTGGGTGCTGCTTAGCTGGTAAACAAATCCTTTTTTCATTTATTGATTAGTTCCTAACCCATAAAATTGGACCGTGTAAGATTTCTTTCTTTTCTACTGCAATGGATTATACCCTAGCTCTGGACTAGATCCCTTTCCACTTGGCCTCAGGCTTCCCCTCTCTGTTTGATCTGCAGCGTCCAGAGCCTTTCTGACACAATACTTCCTGTCCAACTCCATCGAATTGAGTTTTCAGGATGACTTGCCTCAACTACATCATGTCCCTACTGAAAAAAATGATGGTTTGCTGATTCTTCATAAAATCCAAACTCCCAAATGTGACTCCAGCTGATATCTCATTCTTCTACACACAGACCCTGCAATCCAAGGAAAGCTACCCACCATCACTGAGCCTGATTGGAGAACTTTGCCTCCACGTCTTTGGAAGTGTTAGGCTTCCTTTAAGGTTCACCTCAGATGCAGTCTTCCAAATGATCTCCTTGATCAACAATTTTTGAAAAATACCTTACCTTTTCTGTAACTACTAGTAGTTAGCCTACAAAGCAACAACGATCAGGTGCCATGTGCTCCTGCGTTATAGATCCTGCAGAGCTGTTTTTTTGTTTGTTTGTTTGTTTGCTTGCTTGCTTGTTTTTGTAATGCCTTTGTTCAATTGCTCTGTTCCCAAGGTAGTGTCCAACACACAGTAGTTGGTCCACAAATTATTGTTAAACCAAAATATAAAGATGTCTGAAATCTTAGTAGTGAACATCAGTATTAACCCCCCAATCTAAGAAATAACTGGGTTTGTTGTTGGTGGTGGTTGTTTATTTGTTTTTATTTTTTGGTACCAAGGATTGAATCCAGGTGCACTTAACCACACCCCCAACCCTTTTTTGTATTTTATTTAGAGACAGGGTCTCACTGAATTGCTTAGGGCCTCACCTGTTGCTGAGGCTGGCTTTGAAATCATGATCCTCCTACCTCAGCTTCCTGAGCTGCTGGGATTACATGCATGTAACAACTCTCCGAGCAAATAACTATTTTTATGTTATTTATATGGACAGAATGACCCTTTATCTTTCCTCTTTCAATATGTCTCATTAATTAAAATATCATGGTGGTTTAAAATATCCTTGAGGTTTTCCTCAAGAACTAACTTCTTCTTATTTCCCATTCTTTATGCTGTGAATTTTCACATTATTGTCTGTTTTGTACATTCCAGGAAAACAAGCAGCCTATCTGTTTTAATTTTTTTTTAAAAAAAAAAGAACTCTGCATGGGAGGATTTTAGAGCACCTCACCCAGCCCTGGCCCCCATTATACCAATGATAGGCAGTACGAGCACAGAGACCTGCTTGTGGGTCCCTGGGCGATCTGCTTCTGCCTACTGCAATACAGGACTTGAGCTGCAATAGGAATTTACCCCAGTTTTCTTAAGAGTCTCTAGCCAATATTATCCATGACATTTTTGAAAGGCTTAAGTGTAATAGACAGAAGTTAACTAGCATCTAGTCATGTCACTTCAGCAAAATCGGGTTAGTAGACCCATGGCCAGCAGGCTTGAAATGTTTACACGAGAGATTTCTCCGTCTGTGTGCCTTTTAGTGCTTTTCACAAAGGATTACTGGTGTCCTATTTATTCAAAGTGAAACCACAGCCTGAGGTTCTGGTAGTAGCCTGTGATCTCCCCCACCCCACCTCCTTCTGTTGGTTACCCTTCCTCCCTTCTTCCCTGTTCCCTCTGTCTGTCACCAGTTAGTGCCACACCACTCCAATTCCATGCAACTACCAATCCCATCATGCCCAGCAGGAAGCAAAGTTCAGACACTCTCCAGTGTTCTTATTTTTCTACAGAGATTACAGGGCTTGTGTGGTAAGAAGGTATAATAAACGAAACAACAATCTAAGTTTGTGAATTTTGAGAACAAGAGATTAAAAACAGTATCCTAGAGGGAAAAAAATTATTGCAATTGTATCAGGCCTTGAAAAAGAGATTGCCATTGTTATGGTGAGTATTGGGTAGCTTGACTCAGGGGACCAACAGGACAGATTCCTGAAGGATTGTAGACTTTCAGTCAAATGAGTACAATCTTTAGATTTTCAAATCTCTCTTTTGCGGTGAGTCCCTTACCTTCTGGGCTCCCACTGCCTTTGTTATTGACACAGCTGTGGGGTTCTCCACGCAGAAAAGGATCTCTGAAGCTTGCTCCAGGCCATGGTCCCTCCACCCACACACTTTCATAAAACATTCAGAATTCTCTGCTCAATTATATGTGCATATACCTCTGCACAGTAACTGTCCTAACCAGATGGCACCTCAAATAACCTCAATGGTGCTATTATGACAGACTGGGGACAAGGCACAGCAGGGGGCGGGGGCCAGCCAGGATTGTGTAAGTGGGTTTTGGCAATAGAGTTCTGGCCTGTCTTGAAGCCAAGAGTGATTATTACTACTTATGATTGCTATCATTTATTAAACTCCCACCAGGTGCCAGCTGCTTTATATATGAAATAATGATGAGAGGTAACATTTAATGAGTTGCTTATTATATGCTAGGTACTATTATGGATTCATTACGTATATTTCCCTAACCAAACCCTCAACTACCCTAAGGGGTAGATTCTAATTCTTTAACATGAGGAAACTAGGGTGCAGACAGGTTCTATAACCTGCCAAGGGCACACCAGGTAAATAATGGAGCTGGAACACAACCTGGAAGCCCGACTCTAACAGCTACACCCTTGACCATTGTGTTCCATTATCTGCATTCTTCATCGGGTTTTAGTCATTATAACAACTCCACTTTCCTACCCAGTTCACAGATGAGGGAACTGAGGTTCAAAGATAGTCACTAATACAGCTAGTAGCTGGGGTTCTCCCCAGCCACAGGACTCCAAGTCTTGGCTCCTGGCTGCTATAGAGCTCTATTAACCCAGAAACTTCAGTGGCTGCGTGGTGTTGAGCATGAGTAACATGCAGATTTTCCTCAAGAACTACCTTCTTCTTATTTCCCATTCTTTATTCCCTTTCTGTCTCTGAATTCTCATTGAGACCCATCTCCCCTTTCTACTCTCCCTCAACCCTCCCATCATAAGCCTCTCCTTTATCTCCTTCCCTGGGGGTGGGGGGTGGTTATAAGGGAGCTAACATTATCCCTTGTGGTTTTTCATAGTCTAATATAGTACTTTAGAATGCTGGTCTCAGCTGCTGAAAATGCAAATCGTAAGCCCCAGACATAGTGGTTCTGGTGGGTAGAGCTGGGCGAGAACCAGGGGTCTGTATTTTCAGTAAGCATGATTCAGATGAAGGTATTTAGCTGTATTTACTCTTGTTCCAGTGTGTCACTGTCCCCTGGCAATAGGTTTACATCATGGGGAGGTTTTTTTCAAGTGGAAATTTTGGGCCAGGGTAAATGAGATATTATAGAACTGAAAGGTTTTGTTTTCATCTTCTGCTATTATGTAGGCAGAATTTATGTAGAGATTTTATTTATATAGACTTTAAAGCAAAGGTCTTTCCAATACTCTTGTGTTAAATTTAAAGACTTGCTCTTAAAAAAAAAAAAGAACAAAATTAAAACCTCAGATTTACTGCCACAAAACTTACTAAACCACAATTTTCTCCTTTTTGGTCATTGAATATATTCATACATCACACATGTGACATAAAAAGTGCTGGAGTTCATCTAGTTGTGCTGTTGATTTAAATCAGGCTTATTTTCCAGGTATTTCTCTTAGGATGACATAGAATTTTAAAGTCACAATTTCTTTACCAATGCTGTACAGGTTGTGTTTTGAACAAATTGAGCATATTTCTTTGAACATCCTTCCTATAATATTCAACACGAGGAGGCTAAACTCCTGATGATCAGAAAAATTTATAGAAGAAAAATATAAAGAAATATATAGAGAAAATAAAGAAATGATTCTTAAGGCTAAGGAGGTTGGACATTAAGCATTTTGAACTGTTAGACATACAAAGGATGAAGAGAATCACCCCAGGGGACTTAACAATGGGCAAGGACAGGCCATGGTGTCATAAATAAATTAAGCTAGAATAAATACTAATGTATATACCCTGCCTCTTTTATTTTAAGAGTGCAGAGCTTTCTGGCAAAATTCTGACTAGTAATAAATTCCCTTTGCTACCATGGTGACCTTACCATTTAAAATGTGCAGTTATTTTTTTCAGCCAACTTTGGATAATGTTCTGAAGGTTTTATCTGAACTTCTTTCCCAGTTACTCCTCTGGTTGACATTTGCATAGTCATTTGCATAATGTTATTCCTGATAAAAGCTCTGGTTCTCTGAAGAAGAAAATTAGCAATTATTATTTTGCCACAGAATGAATGATAGCATAGGATGTTAGTTACCAACCTCGTTTAAAAACTTTTGAAACAGGGCAAAAAAATAATATGAAGACATATAGGATTAAAAAATTACCATCCCATCAAACTCAGCCCAGGCTTCTCATTCAGTGATTAAGGGTGTCCGTGGAAGGTCTGGAGGGAGGGGTAGATGGGCCAAGTTGTCAGTTGCTAGCAAGGCAAGGAGAAGAGGCAAATTATTCCAAGCAAACCATTTAATGAGGGCTTTGTTAGCATGGAGGGCTGCAGAGCTGGATGACAGCTGGCACTTAAGAGTCTCATCATTAAGGCAACATAATTCTGTCCATCTGCAAGCTCGGAAAAGGGGGCAGTAATGGTTCACTCTAGCCCAGAGCCACACTTAGCTTTAATTATGACTTTCCCTTATTGAAAGACACCATCTACATATATATGCTGCTTACACCCATGGGGGCACCATTTTGGTTTCAAGCTAAGAAAGAATGTTTTATAATCGCAACACTTCTTTTAAATGCTCCACATCTTCTCGCAGCCATTAGGGAAAGCCTGTTCCTGAGAAAGAAGTGCCCAGCTGCGCTTCCTCCCCAGGGTCTGGTGACAACACATCAAGTCACATCATTAGCAGGATGCCACAGACGGTGGAGTGAGCAGGAGGGCTTCCAGCAAAAGCTCAACCGAGTTGTCTCACACATCCAAAATATTAAACAACCTCAGCAGCCCCAGGGGTTTGAAAAGGCAAGGGTCACAACACTGATTTATTTGTGGGATAATAGCAACCCTTTAATAAGAGGACCCCTAAAATATATTCAAATTTTGTCTTGAAGTTATAGAGCCCTCAGAAAATTAAAAAAAAAAAAAACAAACACTGTAATTTCATTACCCAGAGATAAATAATAATACCCTTAGAATGATGGTCTTTATCCTATATTATTTGTTTTTATATCTGTGTATATGCGTGTGTGTTTGTGTTTGCATATGTGTGTAAGAGTGTGTGTATTTATGTTTGTTGATTGTGATACTGGCCTATAATCTCATTTTTCCTCATTATAATATTCTGCCAATACATGTTCCATGTTGTTCAACATTTGACTCTACAACATTATATAACATTATTTGTTTTTCTTACAACATAATTCTAATGGCTATCTAGTATTTCACTTTAAGAGTATACTGTCTTCTTTATTTCATTGTGGGGAGGGGGCAGTGCTGGGGATTGAACCCAGGTCCTCTTGTATGCTAGGTAAGCATTCTGCCACTGAGATACATCCCCAGCCCTGTACTGTCTTTTATTCAATCTGTCTCGTAACATTGGACTTTTAGATTTTTTCAGTTATTTTTGCTATTATGCAAATACTTTCTTTTTTTCTTTTGAATGCAAAGTTTTTTGTTCATTTTGCTTTTATTGGAGCATAACAGTTATATATATCATACGAGTTTAATTTACTTCATTTCAGTCCTCAGTGCCCCGCCCCCTTTCCCGACTCCACTTTCCTTTATTCTACTGGTCTTCCTTTCACTCATTTATTTTTTTTATTTTATTTTTTAAAGAGAGAGAGAGAGAGAGAGAGAGAATTTTTTTAATTTTTTTTTTTTTTAGTTTTCATCGGACACAACATCTTTGTTTGTATGTGGTGCTAAGGATCGAATCCGGGCCGCATGCATGCCAGGCAAGCCGCTACCACTTGAGCCACATCCCCAGCCCTCTCATTTATTTTTAATTAGTGCTTTATAGATACACATAAGGGAGGATTTCACTGTGTTGTGTTTTTGCATGCACATACATAAGTGTAGTTTTCATTCTGCATTTCCTCTGCTTCCGTGCCCTCCTCTCCTCCCTCTCAATCTCCTTCTACTCCATTGATCTTCCCTATATCTTTATGATATCAATCCCCTCCACTGTCTTTTCCCCCCTACTTTATTCTAGTTCTGCATATGAGAGAGAGAATTCAACCCTTAACTTTCTGAGTCTGGCTTACTTCACTTGCCATGATATTCTCCAGTTCCATCCACTTACTGGCAAATGGCATAATTTCTTTTCTTATGGTTGAACAAAACTCCATTGTGTAATAGTACACATTTTCATATTCCATTCATCTATGGGTGGTCACCTGAACTGGTTTCATATCCTGACTATAGAGAGTTGCATTGCTATAAACATTGATGTGGCTATATCAGTAGAGTATGCTGATTTTATTTCTTTTAGATAAATACTGTGGAGTGGGATAGTTGGGTCATATGGTAGTTCCATTCCTAGTTCTTTGAGAAGTCTCCATACCATTTTCCACAGTGGCTGTGCTAATTTTCAGTCCCACCAACAATGTAACAGAGTTCCTTTTCCCCCACATCCTCACTAGCATTTATTATTATCTGAATTCTTGATAATTGCCATTCTGACTGCAGTGAAATGAAATCTCAGTGAAGTTTTGATTTGCATTTCCCTGATTGCTAAGGATGTTGAACATTTTTTCAAATATTTGTGGGCCATTTGTGCTTCTTCATTTGAGAATTGTCTAGTTATTTTGCCCATTTATTGATTGGGTTATTTTCTTGGTACAAATCCTTTCCTAAACATAAAAAGAAGTGATCAAACATCTATATAATAGTCATATTTGTAGTAGTTCATTGACAGAAGAGATTTCTAGAAGCAAAAACTACTATTAATTTGGTAATGCTTTTCAATGGATTTGTATTTTATTGATCACAATAGCATCAACACATTGACCATCAGTCATAATATACATGGAACAATTTCAGTACCCATAAAATTCCCTCACAGTCTGTAAAGTCACAGAGACTCTGTGGGGGTCTTCAGCCCACAGGTGGAAAAGATTTAGTTTTAAAACTCATCTGGGAGGGATGTACTAGGTGTCAGTACAGAGAAGCGGGTATTAACATTTCTTCATATATTAGAACCACGGAGACATCAGTCCCTTAGTATAGAAGGTAGGTATGGATTTGTCAGTGATCTTGGTTTATGTGATGTTTAAGCAAATTCCACAAGCCTCAGAGTTAGAAGTTGCCATTTCAAATTGCATATGTTTGACATAAAGGTCCTGTGAAAGAAGGAAAAGGGGAAGTAGACGTTTAGCCGTGCTCAGTCGAGTGCTCCATTGCTGTGGCCCTGTATGTCATCAGAGCCCAGGCTTCTGTTTGTGTTAACAGGTGATATTCAAGACCAATGTAGTACAAAAAAAAAAAAAAAAAAACTAGAATTTTCATTCACTAGAAAAATTCATCTATAACCAACTTTAAAAAGAAAAAAAAAGAAACATAGGAAAAGAAATAAACTAGTCTCACAGCATAAGGCAAACTCTTAACCCATGTCTTCACTCTTCCTTCCAAAAGCCAAGGAGCAATCAGAAGATAGAAAAAAGCAGAGTTTGAAGAAGGTAAACCACACCTCTGTTTTATTTGTCCACATTAAAAAGAAAAAAAAAAAACAGATCAATACATGTTTTTTGAGGTTTTAGCTCATTTCTTGCAATTTTACTATTTAAAATTCAAAAGGTGAAATATGGCTATTTCAGCAGGTAGCCATTTGTAGACAGACAATAAAAATTCAATACTTGTCCAAACCTACTCAAATGAATGAAACAAACTGTATAAATATCTTCCATAATCACCCAAAGTAGAGAGCCTATAAAATTTCGTCATGTTTTTTTTTTAAACAGGAATAGGATATAACTCATAAAAACAATTTTAAGAATTCAACTTTAAATAGAATACATTTTCAAAAACATGGAAATAAACACATAAAACTATGCTCAGCATCATTGCATTTACTTTTGGTTATATCATGGTAAACCGGGTGTCAGCTGATACCTCTTAGCCTTAAGATTTAGATAAAATTGTTTTTGCTCCTTTCCAAATCCCATAAGGAGTTTGAAGCCATCTTCACAGTTTCTGCTCATTCTGGGGTGTACTTTGCCACAGTCACTTTTGATGACAGATTTCCTCTTCTGTTAAACACAATCTCACACAAAGGTCACCACCTGTGGTTCCTTCCTTCCCCACACTGAGCCTGATGTGGAATTCAGCCATTTCTATTTTCTCCAAACACTCACTTGATGCATTAGGGTGGGAGGGAAGACAACACGGATTTGGAGTGACCAGAGGGCTTATGTATCAACAACACAAGTTCAAATGAAGTTGTTTATGGAAGTCCTTTGACTGTCCTGCTATAGGAAGTTCTTATATTTAACTGCCCTGCAGTTGTGCTCTTTTCTCATTTACTCTCTTTTCTCCCCTCTCTTCTCTTCCCAAAGCTGCTGTTTCAGTCAGCTCCCCCTCCCCCATGTGATGAAAAGACTTGACCAGAACAATTGTAGAGGAGGAAAGCTTTTTTGAGGGCTCACGGTTTCAGAGGTCTCAGTCTATGACAGCAGGCTGTATTCCTCGGAGCCTGAGGTGAGAAAGAACAACAAGGCAGAAGAGTGTAGCAGAGGGAAGCAGCTTCTCATGATGATCAGGAAGCGGAGAGAGACTCCACTCACCAGCTACAAAATATATACCCCAAAGCCATGCCCTCAATGACCCACTTCCTCTATCCACACCCACCTGCCTCAAGTTACCACTCAGTTAATCCCATCCAAAGATTAATTCATTAATTGGGTAAAGGTTCTCACCATCCAATCATCTCCCCTCTGAACCTTCTTGCACTGTCTCACATATAAGCTTTTGGGGGACAGGTCATATCCAAACCATACCAGCCAACAGTCCTGCTCATTTCACAAGGAGGACAATTTCACTGTCTTCATTCTAAATGTACCCTGGAGCCTTATTGTCTTCTGGATGAGAGACTTACTAAGCACTTTCTTAAATAACTACCACTACAATTTCATTCTCTCTGTGTGTGTGGGTGTGTGTGGGTGTGTGTGGGTGTGTGAGATGTATACATGCACAGATAGTCTGGTAAATATTAAAGTTGTCTTATTATATAAACTTACTTTCATAGTCAGAGA